AAATACATTACAATATATTTGCTCAAAAGAAAGGGGTTGCAGTTCTTTACAAATCACAAGCAAACCCCTAGCTTTGCTCTTTTCCCCGTCCACCACTGGATCCTTCGCCTGGACCTAGAATATTGAAAAGAAAGGGGTGAGACAACCACAGTCTCAGTAACAGTGAAATCTATATTGATTATTACAAAGTAAGCCATAATTAAATAAATGAATAATAAATTCAACATAGTATATAATTTAGCCATTTAAAATGCATGAATGCATGACCTAGGCCGGTATGGCCTTTCATGACCAACAGAATGCCCCCTGGCACTCTTTAACTCGCAGGTAAACCTTATACCTACTTGTACCTCCACAGGCACAAAACATAATCTAAGGCATGATCTAATCCACCGAACCGCCTATGCCCCTTCGACGTGAATCCTGAGCAGTCAAAGCTAACTCCCTCCCAGAGCCAGCCCGACTTACTCTCCATGTGAGGGCTACCTTGGCCTAGGCACTCAACCTCACACTTCATATGTCGGATTCCCTCCCCCACTGAGAGGTGTCGAACACTCAATACACTAACCACTTTAGTGCACTGAGCCCACAATACGTAAGACAACACTGAGTACTGACAGTGTGCCATAGAATATCAAAAATCCACACCTTCTCATTGGTGAACTCCCACCGAGATCATGCCTTTTACTCTTGTCTACCTTTCCTGAGTATTGACCATTCAACACTCTAAAGTAGTATAATATTTATAAATCTCATTTCCATAAAAACATTGTTATTAAACAATTAGAAAACATATTTGCACTATAATCAAAGTAGTACCCCATAACCCCTTATAAAGCACATTTAATCTTTTAAAACATGTAATGCATGATAACTAGTAATATTTATTCAAAAATAGCTAAAACAAAGTAATAAGAAATATAAATTCCCCTGTTACCTCAACCCTTTGGTACTAAAAGGTTCCCCTTGTACAAAATAGGGCTCGGCTTGTTCCTCACTTCTCAATAAGTTCCACCAACAATTTTCTACAACATATAAGTGATCCACATCACTTATCATGACAAATAGTATTAATGAAGACTATAACTTATACCACACAACTTAGGTCAATGAGTCATAATCCACCCTAATGGTCCATATATTAAACCAACCATTCACATAGTATCACTTAACCACCAAAACCATTTATTAGCCATCACTAGGCTAATTTTCAATTTATATAATTTTTTTAATTAATTAAAAACCTTTACTTAGTGCCACCAACTTTCACCATTAGCCCTTATAATGAAAACCAAACCTTAATTTAAATCTTATTGGGCTCAAATAGCAAAATTATAACTAAATCAATAGGCTTAAACCATTGAGGAGCAAAAACCCAATTTCTCAAGGTTTATTTTGTGCCCAAAACACCTCTTTTCATCCAATTATTCACTCAAAACATTAGATCACTATATAGAAACTCAAAACATGCTCCCTAGAATCCAAAGAAACAAAAGCTTACAAGAATAAAGCCTTTGGGATCAAAATCCAAAAATTTCCTCTTCCAAAAATTGAAGAAAATCAAGAGAAAGAGAAGAGGATTGAAGTAGGGAGTTTACCTATCGTGTAGCCGAGCTCGCAACGGTCGCAAAGACTCCTAGATCCAAGCCTAACTCCCTCCCTTTCTCTTCTCTTCTTCCTCTCTCTCTCTCTCCCGTTTGTGCGTTTGCTTCCTTTCTCATTTTCTCTGCGTTTCTCTGCATCAGTTTGCTCCTTAAAATGCTGGTCAAAAACTTTGGGGAAAATTACAAGAAAGGGCCCAACATTTTTTATTATTGCACAAAAGCCCGGGTCAACTTTGGTAATTTTTCCCATAGTTAAAAATCAAATAAAACCAAACTTTTGCTTAGTAAAATTCGAACTCTGGGCCTCTATTAAATTATTCTAAATTTTAATTTAATTATAGATATTTTATTTTATTTTTGTTTATTTTTTTTTAATAAATTTGAGTCTTAAAATTTTTAGGATGTTACATCTGTAGTTGTTATTTTGTAGTATTTTTTAAAAACTTTTAACTTATTTAATACTTAATTACTATGATCTAAGTTATGATATTCCTGCTACTACTGATATGAATTTTACATTGGTTAAAGAATGTTGCTGAGCAATAGAAGGATTTTAAGTCAACATTGACTAGAGAGTACAACCATGCAAATGGGAAGAAGGAAGGTCGAGATTTATGTCCAGAGTACAATTTTCTTGATCACGTTTGGGAAGAAAGTATGTGAGTATCAAAAACATCTGTAGTTGCTATTTTTGTAGTATTTTTTAAAAACTTTTAACTTATTTAATACTTAATTACTGTGCATCTAAGTTATGATATTCCTGTTACTACTTGTATGAATAAATATTGGTTAAAGAATGTTGCTGAGTAATGGGAGGATTTTAAGTCAACACTGACTAGAGAGTATATCCATGCAAATGAGAAGAAGGTAGGTCGAGATCTATGTCAAGAGTACAATTTCTTGATCAAGACACTTGGAGATAGTTTGTGGCATCTTGAAATGACTTTGAATTTTAGGTGATAAGCTATCACTTAATTTCTATCTAATGTTATTTTATATGATTCATTGATTTAATTTGTTTTCATTTTTCTAGAAAATAAGTATAATAAATAAAGCAATACAATCACAAAATCTATATCCTCATTACATGTCTTGTAGGGGATATAGAAAAGTTAAGCAAAAGCTAATTGAGGAAGATAAAAAATAAATGGAGGAAGCAGCAAAATCAAACCCACTATTATTGTTTAGCCCCCACTATGGCCAACTCGTTAAAGAAAATGGAAGGTTGGGAGGATCAAGAAAGGTGAGTACATCACTCCAGAGGCTTTTACAGTTGCTGAAAAGATCATAAGTAGTTAAATAAATTTAAATTTATGACTAATTGTTTTTAAAGATTAAGTAATAATTTAGCTCATATATTGTAGGATTCACTCGAGGAGAAAGTTTCTCAAGGTTCCTTCACTCTAAATGGAAAGATGGATATTCTATCAATTGCAATTGGAAAGCTAGAACATCCTAGAGGTTGGGAGGATCAAGAAAGGCGAGTACATCACTTCAGAGACTTTTACAGTTGCTGAAAAGATCATAAGTAGTTAAATAAATTTAAATTTATGACTAATTGTTTTTGAAGATTAAGTAATAATTTAGCTCATATATTGTAGGATTCACTCGAGGAGAAAGTTTCTCAAGGTTCCTTTACTCTAAATGGAAAGATGGATATTCTATCAATTGCAATTGAAAAGCTAGAACATCCCAGTCGAGTTAAAAGGTGTTGGTAGAGGAGTTGATCTCAAGGAGTACTTTAAACCAACTCTACAAAGCTCTTATAAAGGAGATGAGATCTATTAGTTAGTGGCTAAGGCTAAGGATGATACTCGAGCTGAGGTTCAATAAGAGGTTAGACAAGAGATTAGAGCCCAGGTTTGACAAAAGGTCAAGTGGGAGTTTCATGAATTGTTTTAGGAAGACATGATGGCCCAACTTCATAAAGAGATGAAATCTATGGTTACTAGCATGACAGTTTCAGGAGTTGATCGTACACCTTAGGTTTGTATTTAATTTAATTTAACATTGATTTGTGTTTAATTTAATTTAACATATATTTTCATTTCATCCAGATGTCCCCTGTTATACCAAGCACGTAAGATAGCCATAATCCATCGGGGACAATGGCGCTGGCACTAGTTAATCCTGATCCTCTCGTACCAGATGACAATGAAGGAACTTCTTGTTATCTTTATTTAGAGATTCTAAAAAATTTGTTGTTGTCGAAGGTCAAGTATACAAGTTTGGGTCCATAATTCATTATCAAAAGATTAAAGCGGACCAAGTTAGGATGACAATTACATGTGTTCAAAAGGTTGAGAATAATGTACACATGTCCTTTCCTACTTTTAAGATTACAACAATAGGCTAAGAAAGACGTTCTTTCATTCTATGGTTTAAACATCTTGTGTCAAAAATCGATGCAATATTGCCAAAGGTAAATAGCAAGTTAATATTATGTTATTTTCTTTGAGTTAATTAAATACTTATATAACTCATTCATTTTATATTTTAATAGGAACCTAAAAATGCTATTAAATTTTCCTACTTGGCACAATTATATGAAATTTACAAAGATATGACAGAAGATATTACTGCTAAAATGCCATTAGGGGTCATAGCTATGGAAAGGGAATATGATTTTGAATTCGATAAAAGAGATCACAAAAAGTTCTTAGATTTAAAGGAGTTGGACATATCATAGGCTAAATTGGAAATCTTGTAACTTTGCTATATACTTTTTTCATTTTTTCCATTTCATTTTCATACTACTAACATTTTGATATCATTTCAATGATAGGTACCTCTACAATATTTGTTGTGCAATGGGCCGGAAAACAAAACACATTTGGATTTTTATGCTCAAAAGTTGTGTAGAAAGCTTATAATGTAATACATAGAAGGATGACATATGTGATGAATCTTATGTTAGATATGAAATTTTCATGTTATCTAGCACCAATTATTGATGGGTAAGTATTTGTTATTCATGCATGTGTATGTGTGTGTATATATTCAGGTTATTTAATGCCTATTTAAATTTTTATATGATGCAATTATCATTGATTACTTTGTGTTCTTTGCTCAAATCAAAATGAAGTATACTAGTTTTGTTCTTTGGGCAAAAACTAAATGAAGAGCTCATATGGATTTTCACCAATTAAGTTTTAATTCATATAAAACTTTACTTCATGAGATATTTATATTTTTGCAATGTGTTTTTATTTATAAATAATAATAGTGCACTTGGGACATGTTATATACTTATGTTTGGGGAATGCAAGCAAAAATCATTGATGGAATGAATTTACTCGAATGTAAGTATATATGAACCTTTAAATTTCATATTTAATTATCCCTCATATTTAATTTTAAAATTTTCATTTATTTCAGTGCCATAGGCAGCCAGAAAGCATGGAATGTGAATATTATGTTATTCGTTACATGTATGAGATAGTTCAAGTTGGGAGTACTGAAAGATTACAAGAGGTATTTTGTTTTTTTTATTTTAGTTTAAATTCTTGTATTTAATTCCTTCAATTATTGTTCTAATAAATTTTATTATTTAGATTTTTGAATATAAGGAGCCCTATAATAGTGAAGAGATTGATGGCATTCGAGATGTTTTGGCTCAACAACTTTTGCAAGAGTACTTTTCAAAGTGAATAGAGGTTGAACAAAATTTTATAGTATTTTAGTAGTTGAACAATTATATATATAGATTAACATATTAGTTACATGGAGAAAATATTATTTTAATTCATTTTATAAATATATAGTATATTTGAATATTCATTGTGAATCTGCTGGTTGGCTGTTTGTATTGCTATATAAACTACAAAATTACAGGTTTAAAATTATTGATGTCAAGAAAAAAAAAATCATTTTTTTTAAAATCAAACTTTTAACAATGGTTATATGAAAAACTAATTTAAAAAACTTTTAATATTGGTTTTCTATAAATAACGATTGTGAAAAGTCCACTTTTTACAATAGTTATTTTATTAACCGATGTGAAAAGTGGAAAGTCCACTTTCCACGTTGGTTTTCTGTAATAAATGACGTGGAAAGTGGACTTTCTACTATCCTCTTTTTTACTACCCTACCCCTTTATATTGACTTAAAAAGTTTAAAATAATCATTGTAAAGAGTCCATCTTGCAGCAGTGCAACAACCGCCAAACAATTGATGGTGGTAATCAATAAGTATTGGTTGTTAGAAGTAGCCAATACTAGTTGTAATGTTCGTCTTGACATTACCAGAATAACACTCTAACATACCATTGTGATAACTCGAATTAATTAGAATCTCAAATAAAAGTTATTACAACCCTAAAATTTAAAAGTAATTAATTTAAAATACTGGGATTAAAAAAAATCCTTTTTCAAAAGTCCTTTGAGCTCAAACTATGATTTAAAATAAATCAAATAGGATAACAGAAGCATAAGAAGCAAATAGCACTTAAAAATAAATGGAAGAAAATTGGAATTTCTCTAAAAACTAGCCCTTCTGCTGCAGTGCAGGCCACACCCACTGCGGTGGATGGTATAGAGGGATGAGTCCCTCAGCACACATTATGCAGTGGCACAATCCCATTGTCCTGACAGTAGGTTGCTGTCATGACAACACTCTAAATTTTTGGATTGTGTCATTTCACCATTTGATATCCAATTTAAGCAGTTCAAATGTTCACATGAATCTTTTTGAGCCCTCTAACTAATAGCACCAATCTCATACTTAAATAATTATCCATTAAAAAAAATGGACACCTAAACTCAAATAGTTTGTTTTCACCTCAAAACACATTTAAAGGTGTCCAATTCACACCGCCAAATGCCATTAGCTCCAGAATTACTTGGAGTAACTCAAATGGACCACACACAACATACATGGCCAATCATATCACATAAATAACCATTCATACTCAAAATGACCGCTAAACTCCCAAATTCTCAGCAATACAAAGAGTGGATAAAATTAAGCATAAAACTCATGTTGGTTATTCCAACACACAGTTAATATAATGAATTACTTGTACTAATATCTTGGCCATTCACATTCATTTATCCACAAGTATCACAATTTTAGGCTGAGATACACACACATTACACAGAGTTTCATGCAAGTGACAGCAAAATGAAGTAATGATCCTAAGTTGGCATAACCTCATGACATATTCATTACAAAAACCCAAAATGAGGAAAAAGAAGCGCTATACAATGATGCTCTTCACTCTTCGATTGTCCCTCTTCCTTCCCCTTGCCTTTACCAGAGCCCTCACCTATAAAATATAACTATGGGATGAGATAAACATATTAATAATAGAATAATTCATCACTATTAATTAAAATGCACAACCAAAAGCGAGTAAAGCTTATCTACTTCAAAAATACTCTTTTACATATTTCAACATATCATTTCTATGAACAAAAGTTAGCATGATCATTCTACCATTCAAGCCTCCATATCACCTCGACTGAAACCATGGGCTCTTGGACTAAGTGCATATTCACAATGGCCTGAGCTCACCTTCAATGGTAGGATTACCTAACCAAAGGTGTCTTATCCCACTTCCAGACTATGATCTCCTCCAATCGTACACAAATTAGGGTGTCGTTACTCTAACACCGCATCACTGATGTTAAAGAGCGTCAATCTCTAATACTGTATCTCACTTGGATACTAAGGAGATAATCTCCAATATCGTGCCTTACTAGGCACTAAGGAGATACATGCCATATGGACTTTCACTACTCCTTTCTACAGGTGAACTTCTACTCCTATCTTGATCATACTCATATATCTCATATATAATACATACATATATATATATATATATATATATCAAATTTGATTAAATCCTTATAAAACTTTCACCACTTTCACCATTTGCCATTTGTTTTACATGCACAAAATCATATTTCGCTATATATAAAGTTATCAAATCTCACGCAGTAATTTAACATATCTACTCACAACCAGTTAAGTAATATAATCAAATAGTATAAATTATTTCGTTATCTCAACCCTTTGTCACATAAAAAGATTATTGTGGTTCAACATTAGCTCCAGACATTTTATATGTACGATAAAGCTCGAGCAACACTTAATCTACACCATTAATCAATAATTATTAATTATCACTTCGATCAAACCTCAAAATTACTAGATTCCAAGTACCCATAAACACCTAAAATCCTCATATAATAACACCAACCCTTTCAAAACACTCTAACAATCCTATTTAGAATCCAAACATACTAAAATCATTAACCAACTATCTACATTGTCTCAAAAAACCTCAATTCTCATATAGGGTTAGTATGAACCCTAGTCAAAAATTTTAAATTACCATAAAACCCATAAACCTAAGGTTAGAGGCTTAATTTAACTCCCTAAAACCTTAATAAGTCAATAGGTTTGGTCTACAACCAAAGGAAATGAAATCAAGTCTCAACCATAGCTAAAAGCATCAAAAATTCGCATAGAGGGAGAGGGAGAGGAAATAGAATCTTACCCAAGGTGTAGTAAGCCTAATGTGCCTTCAAGATACCTTTAAGGTTGTGCCCTAGCAATCTCTAGTCATCTCTCATCGCCTTCTCATGATTTCACTTATCCCACTTTAGATTTCAAGTATGTTTCATGATTGATAAAATGTAGAATTGTGTACGTGCACCGTTGTATATGGCATAGAGAGTTCCCTTCACATTTGAAACCTTCCTCCGTGCCACGGCTTGCTCGAATTTTGACCTAGCCCTCTTTTAAAGCTGTCAAAAGATCCAAAAACTATATTAGTCTCTCATAAACATCATTAGTCAAAAATTCACTTGAAATTACTATTCTATCCTTATAATAATTTAAAATTCCTAGGTTGAAGACTAGGATGTTATAACAGTGATCAATGGTGGCAAGCAGGGGTGGCCAATGGTGATAGTCAATATATAAGGGCTAGCAAGGAGTGGCTGATGGTGATGGTCAATGGTGGCTAGCAAAAATGATAATCAAGGGGTGGGAGTCGGCAATGACAAATGATCACTGATGGTACATAGGTAGTGATTAATGATAAAAAATATGTTTTCAAATGAGATTTTTTTTTCAATTGATTTTTTAAATATAATCAAACATATTTTTATTTAGTAAACAAAAATAACGTAATTTTAACTCATCTTAAGAATGAGCATACATTACTCATCTTTAATATAGATAAGTTCTCTACGGTCTCGAACTTTTTTTTTTTTATATCTTTTAATTTTTTACTCAACGAATACATTTACGGTCAAATAAAAAAATTGGTAGTTGGAACAGTACTTTTACTTTGCATCATATTCCTAGTAAAATAATTTATAGAGTTAAAAATAAAATAAGGACCATTTAGGTATGCACTTTTAATTTATATCTTAAAAATTCATTAAATATATATAATTCGATTCTTAAATTATATTATTTCAGTTTACGTGCTCCATGGCCTAATTTAAAAGGTCTAGCTAGCTTGTTTTGAAAATAGAGGAAGAACATAGAAGTAATAAAGTTGTGTAGAGGAAGAAAATTCACTAAAGTAATTGATAGTGGTATTTCACCTAAAGTTCTTTTTGTGGAGTGTACTGGTAGATATCTTATCCATCATGTTGTTATAAATATATAATTCTTCCGTCCTTACTTGTTCTCTCATAGGAAAAAAAAAAAAAAAACTCAAGGAAAAAGTAAAATCAATGTATATAGGAATAATAATATATTACTTTATAAAAAAAATTATTTTTTCTTTTCCAGTTTTACCCTCTGTTTAATACCGATTACATTTTTAAATTTGATTTCTTACAAAATTATTATTAAAATGTTAAATTATAAAAAGATAAATAATGATATTCAGATTGCTAAAATTTATTATGAATAATTTAAAATAAAGTTAAAAAACAAAATATCTTACAAAAAAATAATTTTTTTTTATAAAAGATTAAATCTAAATCGATGAAATCTTAATCTTGTGATTAAAGTTTAAGAGGAGGATAGGGAGAGAAGAGGAGAGAATCCTCTCCCTATTTGATATTATGAGAACACACATACACCACACTTTAAAGATATATCATGTTCTAAATCTTAAGATATAATCATTACTTGTTTCAAATAATATTTCGATTAGATGGAGGGCATAAATGCAGGTAGCTAGATTTTTTTTTTTTTCTTAGCATAAAGACTAGAGTCTAAGCTTGACATCATAAATTATCTCCCTCGACTGGTACCAAGGGTAAAGGATAGATGCCGCTCTCCCAACTATAAGTTATTTCATATATAATGATTGAGATTCGATCCCTCAACTACTTATTCAAATGATAAAAACCCTAATAATTCAAAAAGGATGGGAAATGATGACACGATAATCCTCTTCCAAATTTCCATGGCATATCAGGAATGTTCTTTCCTTTGATCTTCTTTCATGGCCACTATGTCTAAGGTCATATATTTTATTCTTTATTCACCTATATAAATTATACCTTGGACATCAATTCAACCTTATCTCATTAATTTTTCTATAATGGGAAATCACCTAACTTCATTTTGCTATGATTCACCAAGATAAAAAATTAAATCAACAAATCTTGGATTTAAATTTAATTAATATATCTTATTCAAACGTTTTTAGATATTAATATTTTAGTTTAATTATATAATTTGTAAAATAAAAATAAGATTTTTAATCAATAACATATAGAAATATTAAATGATTTTAATTTATCAACAATTTTTTGAATCGATATCTACAACTTATTTTTTAGAAAATCTTATCAAAAACTTAACTATTATAACTTAACTACTACAACGGATTCTATAATCAAAATTGAGATTAAATGTGTTAATGGACTTTAATTATCATTTAAAAGTCCATATGTTCATTTGGATGAAATTTTATTTTATTTTTTCACAGCTAATGTAATCATTTTAGACGTGTGCGCACCTGTGTTGCGCGTGTTAAGGACATGTCAAGACTTTCTTAGATCTAGCCAATCTGTTTGATTTACTTTTTTAAAATTAATTAGAATCTAATTAATTTAGGTGGAATCAGATACTTGAGTTAATTAGAACTAAATTCTCTTTATACCTTTTTTTTTAACAAAAGTTCCAACTGTTCATTCAACGAACACATGTGCATGTTCTGTGCACGTCCACTTATTTATATATTTAATTTAATTAGCCATGAAACTTCTATAAATCCCACCTATAATATTCAATAATCCATTACACAAGAACCTTACTTTCTTCAACAATCATCACCATCATCATCTTCTAGTAAATTTGCAGATCCACATGATCAGCCACAGCCTAATCTCGCGAGACTTCAAAAACATCTTCCTTCCCCACAACGAAATTATCCAGAACCTTAATGTAAATACACTCTCAGCTGCAACAAATCATCATCATCATCATCAAGAAGAACTTGTTAACGTTGTTGTTCCTTCTTCGTCAACCTCGGATGAAGCCGAGGAGAAGAAGCAGAGGCGAATGGTATCGAATAGAGAGTCGGCTCGAAGGTCGAGGATGAGGAAGAAGAGGCACATGGAGGTGCTGAATTGGGTGATGATCAGACTCAGAACGGAGAACCAGGAGCTTGTTCAGAGACTGAAACATGTATTAGAGTCACATGATAGGGTTCTTCAGGAGAATGCTAAGCTTAAAGAAGAAGCTTCCCATCTTCGCCAAATGCTTGAGAGCTCTTCCAATTTGCAATCGCCTCCATAGATTTCGATGACCATCATTTTCCCTGCAATTTTTGTTGATACCAACAACGTATTTTGTGGGCATGATTGATTTAATTTGTCTCCAGATTTTCTTTTGTTTTTTGTTTTGGGGTTTTAGCTCTCTCTCTCTCTCTATATGCGCGCGCGTGAACAGAAAGTGAGTTTTTGATTTCATATGGTGGAAAGAAACAGCAGCCTTTTAATCCGTAGAGAAATTGGACCTGATCGATTTTGTAAACCTTATTACCCAACTTTGTCATTAATTAGTGTTGTTTTTTATGGTTGGGGGGAGCCATGTCTCTCATGTTTGGATGCTGAGGCTGAGGTAAATAGAAGGGGGAAATATGGGATTTTAATGAATATTCTAAATTTTCTCATCTAATGAGTGCTCGCATTATTAACGTCATAAGATTTTATCGAAGTTTGAAAATTCATACTTGATCAGAAATAAATAAAACGATGAGTAGTGTTACAAATCCTCTCAATTTTTTTAGTCATCTACTTGGTTGTTTCCATCCTCTTATTGTCAGTCAACATGATCTTTGTTCTCTCATCCGCGTCTTCTTGCTCTTTATAATCTTCGCTTCCTTACTCTCTCCGATCTGCATCTTCTTACTCGCTCTCTCTATCTCTATATATATATATGGTGTGTGTGTATGTTTCTGACTAAGTCCAAGGCATATAGGGCACAATAAAAGGTAATCCCTTTGTTTCAAATTATAAGACATTTTTAAATAAAATCTCACATATTAATAAAGCTTACTAAATATACTTTACAATTTAACTTTTTCAAAATAAAAATATAAACTCTCAAAAATGTCTTTCATTTAATACTCCATTGATGAAAAAAATATAAAAGAGAGAGAATATATGAGAAGGATAATATTAAAAAAATATTATTAATAAAACCTTAGTTTTATCAAAGTGTCATATATTTTGAAACACTGAATCTTTCTTAAAATTGTCTTATAATTTGGGACAGAAGGAGTAGCAGTGTCATTTTATATTTTCTCTATATTTTGTGCCTACATCTTCAACAACTATTCAATTGAATCAACGATATCTATCATATCATATGAAACACTCATTAGGTGAGAGAATTTAATTATGACACTTACCGAATCCATATTATCAAAGTGACCTCTTTAATCGCCAATATTAAATCCATCAAGCAAGTTGGTGGGATGACTTTAATTTGCAGTGAGAAACAAATCACCACTTAAAATATTTTTTTCTCCTTGTAATTTGTCAATTAACTATTATTAATGAAAATTAGAGTGAATGAATATTGTACATTTAAGTGGAGTTTAAAAAAGAAAACCAAACCATGCAGCCTACTAGTTTATATTAATTAGTTTAAGAAGTTAATCGATATATATATATATATATATAGATCTTTATATATATATATATATATATATTTATTTATTTATTTATTTATAAAGATCTATAAGAAGTCATGCCATTTAAAATTTTATGTAGCGCGACTTTCTTGCACATTTCCTTTCTTTCTTCTTCTTCTCTTCTTTTTGGGTAGAACACCATTTTTTCTCTCTTCAAATCTCTTTTTCATGTGTCAAACACAACCGATCCCTAGACACTACTAGTACAATTTGTCAACAATTATGATGAGGATATAAATAGTCTCATAATCTTGGGTCAATTAATTAATTAAATCAGTGTGAACACATCATATTTTAATCATATTATCTGATACGTCTCTCGTCCTAACTTTTTTTAATAACTTAATTTAAAATTTAAAGTGTAATCTCTATTTGGGAAAGCATGAGCGTGAAGGACATAAGTATGTGGAGACTTCAAAATCATCGAAGTTGACATGCTTACCACACTTATTCTTTTATATGCAAAGAAAATAATGATGACAATCTAACCAATAAACTGAATTGCCAATTGGAATCTTCATCCTTCTTATTGTTTTAATAATTTCAACTGCTTCACATCACTTGGAATATAGATTATGTAATAAATTTCACATCTTTTAACATCTAAATATCATTTTAAAAAGGGAAAATCGTATCGAGGGATTTCAGAAGAGAAATAATTGCACTTGGAGCCCAATGTATTATGAAATTATTCTACAACCCTTTGGGCCCTTTTTGGAAAACTGTTTTACAATGAAAAGACATAATTACCCTTAACGAGAAAAGATAGCAAGTAAAAGTTCAAATTTACAAGAAGATGTTGACATATTCGCAACTTTAGAATCATATATATTAATAGGTAATTATCCATTGGTTGTGAAGTTATTGTTTAGAGTTAAAAAGTTTCACATTGGCCAAGTTCAAATAGTCACAAGTATAGGTTTATTTATTCACAAATGAAAGTTTAGAATTTATGACTTTATATATTTAGAATGTTTATCTTGGCAACAAATTTTCATTTTTACAACTATAAGTTCATAAATTCACAACTTTAAGTTCATCTTATTAATAAGTAATTATTCATTAGTAGTGAAATTTTTGTTTAGAGTTGATAAGTTAATAAATTTATAACTTAAAGTTTGAATATTTACAAGTATAGATTCATCTATTCACAAGTCAAAGTCTAGAATTAATGACTTTATATATTTAGAACTAAAGTTTATCATTACGACAAGTTTAGACTTTTATAACTAGATGCTCATAAATTCACAACTTTAATTCATGTATTTACAAAGTAATTGTTAATTAGTAGTGAAATTTTTGCTTAAGATTAACAAGTTCATCTTGGCCAACTACATAAATTTACAACTTAATAAAGTTCAAATATTCAGAAGTATAGGTTCATTTATTTATAAGTCAAAGTCCAAAATTTATTACTACACATATTCAAGACTAAGATTCATCTTGACAGCAAATTTAAATTTTTATAATTAGATGTTCACAAATTTACAACTTTAAATTCGTCTATTAACAAGTAATGTCCATTAATAGTGAATATAAGATTTTTCTTTCTTACTAAAGGCAATCGTGTCATTTCCCCCTAAAACACATATGTAAAAAGAGCCATTGGGCTTGCAGAATAATTTTAGAATGTATTGGTCCTTAAGTTCAATTTCTTTCCTTTGGGGGCCCTAGGTGCAAGTTTCCCTTTTAAAAAGTTATTAAATCTAGACCATATATATGTCACACCTTGCTCACCCACAAAAATAAAATGTATACTTTAGTTTTCAAATTTTACTCATACATGAAAGCATTTCTAGTTAAATGTAAACAAATCTAAACTAAAAAAGGAGTAAAGAGAGAAAAACTAGAGAAATTAACTTGATATATTTTTGTTTGTTTACTCAATTTTGTTGCCAAGTTTATTTACACACAATTAATAATGGCTTGTCAAATATGTGTGCGTGTGTAGTTAATAATCTAAGGCAATCATCACAAAATTCATCAGGCATTTTTGTAATGCCCTAATTTGCAAAATTCATCAAACAAATGCCCTAATTTGCTCTTAAAGCAATCTATTGGCCTCCATGATTAGAGATGTGTTTTGTTGTCACAAATTAATTTTCTTGTTGTTACAATATTTCTTAGACGTAATTACATTTTAATTTGAAAATAATACTTAACTTCTATTACAGGTTAATAGATTGCTTTAAGAGCATGACCCATTAAAATGCAAATGCTAGTGATGTACTTTGAAATCACTCGTTATTTATAATCATAAATTTATATTTGTGCAGGACTTGAAAGAACTCGCCATTTAATTAAGGGAGAATATTAATAAAGGAGCCCCAACAAAAATTTAATTTCTTATAAGGATCTTAGACAAGTTAGAGTTAACAAATGCCAGATCTATCCATTGTCCTTCTAAAAAGAAAAAAAAAATGAAAAAAATTCTTTCAAGGGTCCTTCATTGATATTTTTCCTTAAATTAATTTTATGATTATTGAAAGAGAGAATCATATTAAAGGACCAATAGATTGAATTATAGTTAAATAAAGATAAAAAATTTGAACATCTAAAATAAGGACCAAGAGTCCTTTAATGAAGTGGTCTAAAAATTTGGTACTCTCGTTTCATGATTTGTAACCATTAAAACAAGAATTTGCAAGTAAAATTCACTAATATATATATATATATATATATATATAAACTTGCCAATCATATTATCACTTCCACTTATTTTCTCCAAAAATACTTTTAAAAATTTGCAAATAAAATTCATTACTTTATGAAGAAAATAATTTTCAAGTTATGTATATTTGATAAGGCGCAGTGTATTCTTTACAAATTAATGATTCTCACTTGCAAATTGTTATTTTAATTTGAGAGTTGCAAATCATGAAATGAGAGTATCAAACTTTTACACTAATTAATTAAGGAGAATTTTAGTTAAGGACCTGAGAAGACAAGTTCTGATGGGTCTCTAAAAAATGAAACTTCAATTCAATTCTCCAATATTAAACTGAAAAAAATTGAATACAGAAAAGATGAAAATACCCTCAATTCAAATATTAAAAAATCACCAACCACTATTGTTGGAGCACCACCACCAGTGATTGAAGTCTCATCAATGATGGTAGCCACTGGACCTCTTTTACCAGAACTTTGATCACCAGCTGAACTACTACTGGCGGTGGCTCAAGAATTATGGAGAATTAATTCTCTAAAAGCAGCCAAGGTGAATGTAAAACCCATGACCCTTAGCTCACCAAAAAGTTATGGATCACCAACTCATTAAACCCATTCAATCATATAATATATAAAATTATATATATAATAAACCTTGTTTCCAAACCATTTGATTATTACATTACTTATTAATTGTGTAACTTTACTTGTTAATACCTTAATAAGACTTGTTAATACTTAACTTTTCTTGTTAACCCCATGACTCCTATAGAAGAATTGTATTACTTGTTAATCGTGTAATTATACTTGTTAATACCTTAACAAGACTGGTTAATTACTTAACTTTCCTTGTTACCCTATGACTCTTGTAGTAGAACTATATTACTTGTTACTTGTGTAATTATACTTGTTAATACCTTAGTAGGACTTATCAATTACTTAACTTTCCTTGTTAAGTTTGTGATTAATGCAATAGAACTACATTATTTGTTTGATCGCATAATTTTACTTGTTAATACCTTAACAGAACTTGTTAATTACTTGAACTTACTTGTCAAATGCATGAATCCTTTAATTGAACTGTTTTACTTGTTAATCATGTAACTTTACTTATTAATTGCATAGTTTAACTTGTTAATTACACAGCTTGAGTTGTTAACTAAGGGTAATTTATTTTCAATTTAATTTTGGAGGGCTAAACTAAAGTTTTAAAATCTTTAGGGACCCACTAAAAATTATGTGTCTTCCCAGGTCCCTAACTAAAATTTTCCCTTAATGTTATGTTTGAATACATATGAATCCAAATCCAAGTT